TTAAGTAATAGTAGAAAACGTTATTTTGGAACTGAACCTCTTTATTTTATAGCTGCAGAAAGAATTACTGCAGAATTATTGCAGTAATAAATACTGTAGCAGGAGAAATCTCTGCTGGAGTGGGAGGCCCACAGTGGCCCTGCTTCACCTGTGGTGCCTCCAGGAAAACCTTTCTCCCTCAGATGATGCCAGTCCTAAAGGATTGTATTTCTGGATTTTGCCTCACAGCCAGAACAAGAACGAGAAAAAAATAGTTCTCATTATGGAGTCAATGCACAGAGTCATTATGAAGCCAAGGTTTGACCTGGGTTTGAAGTAAATTATTAACGTAATTATTTTATAGTGACAGTATGCATGACACAATAGAGCAAAATTTTACCTCAAAATTAGCATTCCCTAGTGTTCTTGAGACCCAATGTTGGTTTATTTTTCTGCTTTCATAGAATGATGATTTTGTCCACTTCTTTTCTTAATTCCATGGCTATTTGCTTTTTCTACCCTTTCTTCTTTCCCTTTCCCTCTTGTAAGAAATTGATCCTGCTAAAAGTTGTTTGTCTTTCAAAATTTTTCTTTCCATGGAATATTAGTTTGTTAACACCTTGCAGTCAAAGATGAGGAGTTTTTCTCCTTTTTACTTTGTCTCTTTTATCTTTGTGTCTCTGAGCTCATGGCGGTATTAGAAGGATATGACAGAGGTTTTCTGTCTCTTAACCCCCGTGTCACTTACATGTATATCCTTCTCTGCTGTGAGTGTGCTGGGTTTGCACAGGGGAATTTCGCAGAATGTTTTTGTGTCCACTCCTTATTAGCTGTGTGACTTTGGTAAAGATTCCTTTAAAATATGTGTTCTTGTTTGTAAAGGGAGGAAAATACCCCACCTGCCTCATTGTTTAGTGAGACTGCACTGCGATCTACAGGAGGTGGCAGGTGGTAGCAGTGGGTACCCCACATCTTTTTCCACTTCTGTGCTCTGTCTCATGCATGTTCTGCACACACCAAGCCCTCAGTTAATCCTAATAAAGGAACACTGGTGCAGATTTCAGTCTCTGTGCACACACAGTTCTGCCTTCTTTATCAGGGTCATAGTTTGCCTTCAGAATTAAGATTTTAAAAAAAATTATGTAGCGTTCATTTTTGAAGATTTTATTTGTGTCATTTTTTTACATTTATAATTTCTTTTTTTCTAGTAATATTAACTCATATTTTTTAATGCTTTATTTTTATTTGATCTTAATGAACCCTTAGAAATGGTAGGATAACTTTACTGAACCATTGAAAATGGGAAGTTAAAGTACAGGAACTAAGTGTTAGAAGTGACTTCATAGTTGTTGAGCAGGGCTCTGTTCTTAGTACCCTACTTACTATCCCATGTAGTCCTCATAGCACCACAAGAAGGGGTAGCCTTTGCTCTCCATATTTTACAGATAAAGATATTGAATCTTCGGGAAGTAAAGCATAAGGTGACCTTATAATTTATTGTCCAAATCAGAACACTAATGATGAGTGTGAAAGGGGGTGCTGTTATTGGTTACTTTAAGACAACAGGGGCAAACTAGAATTGCCCCAGCAAGTCTGGACATGTGATCATCCTACTTAAGGAACTTGCCCAGGTTCACATAGCTAATCAGTGCTAGAACTATATTCTGAACTCTAGGTTTTCTGACTCCAAACATGTTCTAGCCCATCTTGTCCTGGAATATCTTATCCATATTAGCTAATTCCCGGCAGGGCCACAGAGACCCAGCTATGCTCCACTGCTGTGTGTCCTAAGCATGTCAGCAGTTCACTGCCCAGTGGTATGGGCCCTTGCTGTGAGCTCCTGTCTGCCAGCTTAATATATGGCGTACTCTTTTCTGCTGAGGCTATGCTGTCATGACCAGCTCACAGAGGACCTAGCTGCCACCATGGAGGCAAGCTTCCTGTATGGTGGCTGTAGCATGGGCCAAAAAGTCAGTATGGTCCCTGGGATGGCGCTGCTTCTCATTTGGTGATTCAAGGAAATTAGTCTACTTGCAAGAGACTTTGGAGTCTAGACTCTGGAAAGAACAGAGATAAGTGAGCTAAAATTGACAGTAGAGATTGATCAGTGCTGTGGAGGGCACACAAAGGAACCTAAGAGCATCCGGAAGGACACAAAGCCCTGATGGGTCTGGTGGCAAGGAATCCTGAACAAAGGTTATTGACAAGGTTTTGAGGATGAATGGGGTCAGAGAAAGAAAAGGGCCTTTGGTGCATTGTATGAAAATATCTGGGAGAACATGGCACAAGTGAAGAACTATAGGTAGAAAGGCTTGTACTTTGGTGTCATACAAATATGCCTCGGCGCTCTGTTGTCTTAGATTTGATCTTGGGAACATTACTTCATTTCTTCGACTAATGTGTTGAATGAGAATCCTACTTCCTTTCTATGTGTTTGTAAGTTGTAAATTAATACACATAAAGTATCCAGAACACTGTTTTTTTAGTGATGTGGATTTCAGATCAAGAGGTTTACAGTCTATGAATCTTGTAATTCTGACATTGAACAAATGACTTATTGCCCAAATGTTACTTTAGAATGATGAGACACCCTGAAGCTAAAAATCTTTATAATTGGGATTTTTAATTCAATTTAGAAAGGAGCTTAAAATGATTTTTTATTTAGTTTACAAATAAGAGTTTAAAAGTTGAGTTGGCATACCCTAGCAATGTGAGTGCTTTGGCACACCAGCCCTTAGTGCTGGGAGGGTCAGGCTAACAGCTAGGCAATCCAAGGCCAGGACTGGCCAGTCCCTTCTTGCGGCTGGTTTCAAGTTAACCTTCTCACCCTTAGGACCTGTATGCTGAGGTGTGCTCCAGCTCTGCAGATCAGGATAGTGGTTTCTTAGATTGTGAAGGGATGTAGAATGTGCTCACTCGTGTTCGTCACTCATCTCCTCTCCTTGACTTCATCACATTTTAATCCTGAAGAACTTTGTGGCAGAGGAAATAGTTGAAACCGTACAAGAAATTGAAATAAATTATTATTGTCCTTTTGCTTCATTGTTGGGATTATTCCCAAAATTATCCTGTATCTCTAAAAATTCATTAACACATCCATTAATTACTGAATTTTTATGCTAAACATCATATTTATTGAGGTTTTGTTTGTAGTAGATTTTACACCAGTGGGGAAAATTTCATAAGGATTTAAAAAATTTGCTTCCCATATTAATAGCTGTTATTAGATTCTGATTTTTTAATGTGTCTTATGTGACTTCAGTGTGATTAGTATAAGAGCTTAAAAAGAGAAAAAGAGAGCCCTGGCCGTTTTGCTCAGGAGTTAGAGCATTGGCCTAAGGAACCAGGGGTCTCAGGTTCGATTCCCAGTCAAGGGCACATACCTAGGTTGCAGGTTTGATCCCTGTTCCTGTTTGTGGTCCTGCAGGAGGCAACCAATCATTGTGTCTCTCCCATAATCAATGTTTCTCTCTCTCTTTTTATCTCTCCCTCTCTCCCTTCCTCCTTTCCTCTCTGCCCTCCTCTCTATCTAAGAATTAATGGACAAATATCTTCAGGTGAGGATTAACAACAAAATAAGAGAAAGAGAATTGTTTTTAATGTCTTAGGATTGTCTTAATGAGAATGTTGTGATCAATGTGATAGATGTGAAAATGCCATGTTAAAATTTATATTCAAGTTGTAGCTTCAACTTTACAAGCCTTCTTTTACATAGGCACAGAAAATTGTATGCTGAAGAAGGAAAGCCCACGAACAAGCCTTATCTTTTGAATTTTACAGATTTTGGTTATTTCCTTCTCACCCACTTGCTATTTATTTTATATAAAACCACTGTGTAGGAGAGTCCTAATGTTTTAGTAGTGCAGTGCCCTCTAGCTGTGACTTAAGGAACTAGATATGTACTTGAGTGACTATAGTTTTGAGGGGAGATTCTGTTTATACCATTTTTCTATATTTGTCAGGCTGTTTCATATTTTCATAACTTTATTACAGAGGAAACATTATTAACTAAAAATAAGATATTAAAGTGTAGAACAGGGCATTTGGTCTCTGATTTGCTTTAAGGCTTTCTTTTTATTCACAAACTCTGGATACTGAAAGTTTCTTGGAAGTAGGCAGGTGAGGTTGGCAATTTTATTATCCCTGAGAAAGTATTTTTTGGTAGACTGTTAACAGTTCCAGGCAGGTAGAAAACTCTTTTTTTAACTTTATTTTTTTTAACTTGCTTTTGAGCAAGAATTATAATGATTTATGTTTACTAATTATATTGCCCATATAGTTGCCAAAAATCTATTTAATACTTAATTAGATGTCATCATTGTAGTATTTAAATTCTATTTTTTTTTACCAGTACCTTTCAGAAGTAGTTCTCAGTTCTCAACTTCTTCAAAGAACTCAAAATTTATACAGTTCTAAAAGAACCAGCATATACTGCACAGACATACTATGCGAAAGTCATCCATTGATACTATTTTGCAAAATATCAAATAATCTTCTCTTTAAAATGTACTTTACCCTAACAAAGGAATACTTTTTTCTTTATAACCTCACTTCTTGAAGTTCAAGCAGATTAATCAAGAGATTCTAGATTAACATTGGCTGCATTTTTCATTACCTCCATATACTCTGTACCTACCCCAAGAATAGAGAAAATGAGTACAGTGCAGTCTTTGTGCATAAAACCAGGATGTTCCCTTAATTGGGGCTTTCCTTGGTGTAATGAGCAGTGTACCTGTTTCATACAGGCTCCAGGACAGGTGATTTTTATGGATTCTGCACTCTGATACTTGATAGCAAGAGATACTGTTCTTCTGATGAAGAAGGTTTGGGACCACGAGTGGCGGTGGTGACTTTTATATGTGGAAAAACAATAAATTTCATTGTATGAAGAAAGTTTTTATATTGTTCTTGCTAAGACATTCTTCCTTTGTGATCTGTTCTCAAGTTTAAGGGGATGATGTTCTTTGGAAGAATTTTGAGTCCTGTTCAATTGTTATTTTCTTGTTGCCATTGTTTTCCAGCATCCTCCAGGACAAATAGCAAGGAAATACAGCTCCTGCTCCACTATTTTCCTAGACGATAGCACAGTCAGTCAACCAAACCTCAAGTATACAATTAAATGGTGGGTATACAGATTTTTGCTCAACTGAATGTTTTTTTCTATTACTACTTGGTAGGTTGTGGGATCTGGCAGGGGGAGGCCATTAACTATGGAAGATCTTTTTAAAGAGTGATTTTGGTAGTTAAAATGTGGGTATTCAAAATATTTGTTCGTATTATCAGTTCGATAAAAAGACCAAATTTTGAAATTATTTTAAATGTAGATTAAAGTGTATTTTTAATTTTTGTGCATACTTTCTGTCTTCCCACTTTTTATTAAAGCCATCCTCGCATGACTCTGCTAATATTTTACCTTCAAAATAAAATGGGATTCCAGCTTACGACTTGGGGCTGCACTAGAAAGCAGGCCTGATGTAGTGAAATTGTCCTTGCCCACAGTGGAGATCTGAGTTCTAACGACAGCTCTGTCACCAAGGGGGGCAAGGGGTTGAATAAAATCCTTCTTTTGGGGAACTTATTTTCAAGTGGAACTTAAGGGAGGAAGAGGAGTCTTGGTATAAAATCTTTTACATTTTTGGCTTCAGTTTTTGTATTTTAAAATGGGAGGTAAGAGGGAAGGAACACTTGTTTTTTTCTGTAATGTTTTTACAAGTGTTTTGATGATAAGAGATCACAGAGAACGTGATGGGCTGGGGTCTATGGTTTTCAGCTCATCTGTGAAAAATCTGGGGTATTTTACCTTTATACTTCAGAAAATATGCATTTAGCAACAGTTCATGTTAGTGTTTAAGTTTTTACATTGTGAAGTAGGAAGTATTCTATCTCAGTGGGCCAGGTTTTCAGGCTTAGAAGCCCTGTTCTGAATGTTACCACAGGTGATAATTAGTCACAGCCTCAGTCAGGCAATGGGGACTGTCATGGTCTTCTGTGGATAGGGTTCACTCCAGGGGGAAGGTAGAAGTTTGACCACTTGGAGAGAGGCTGCCTTCTCTGTTGTGGGGTTGGTATTTCTAGGATTTAAATAGGAATGTGGCTTCTTCCCTTATTACCTTGGTGTTAAGGGTATGGTAAATGCCAAGTAGGCATAAACCCAAACAGTCCGCTACTGTAGCTGGGAAGAAGTGTCTATATCATAGCTCCATAACACGTGTCCTTGGCTGAGCCACTTCCTGTCCTTGAGCCTAGATTTACTGCGAGAAAATGGGAAGTATAGCACTTTCTAGAGTAAATTGTTAGCAGTTGTGGAGAGGAGTGGAAAGCCCTGAAGATCTGTGCACTGTGTAGCTGTTGACATCTACTTGAGCTCTAGAGCCCGAAAACCGCTACCTTCCTTTAATCCTGGAGTCATCTTCTTGGGGAGCTAGGCAGAGTGGAGCAGAGTACGACTTCCCCTTCAGGGGCAGTGGGAGCTCTTGGGATTTACCAGTGGATTTGAATCAGTTGCTCAATGGTTTATCCTTGGATGACTTAAAATTGCCACTGATTGTGACATGTACACTGAGGAGTGGGTGGGGAAACTGGGTGACAATTTGATATTTGAATGTCAAGTCTGAGAGATGTAATCACCTAAGTTACAGATGTGTATCTGTGTGAATCAGTGGTACCAGCCTGGCTGTGCCTGAGAGTCACCTGGGAGCTTAAAAGACACTGATATTTGATGTCTCGCCAGTGTGTGGATTTTTAATCCCTCTAGGAGATTCTAATAGGCAGCCGAGGTTGAGGACCCCTGATACAAGTGGACAGCTGCTCTCCCCTCACCACCAAAGTTCCCTAGAAAGTTTTAAATAAAATGTTTTAAATAAACTATAGGTTAATACATGGAGGGAAAAGAAGCTGAAAAGCTAGAGCAATTAAGATGGTTGTCTTTTGAGACAAAACATTAAATGTGGATACTGTAGCTTCCCTGATCCAAAGGACAGTTTCTCTGCACCACTCAAATCTGAAATTCTTTCGGTCAGTAGCTTAGTTTTTTAAAAAATGCCCTGTTTTTAAAAATGTGCTTGTTGGATCTGGGAGCCCTGAAACTACAAGGGGTAGAAAGATGCAATGTCTGAATGCTCTCCTCTTCTAAAATTTTGCTTAAACCTTATCTTATACCTGTTGGAGGAAACCCGTGGCTCCCTCCCCCTAGGTACTAAAATTGATTACACACTCGTTAATACAGCAGTAGTTCAACTTTATTGTGGGCATGGTGAGCATTTATGGGCTGAACTTGCTTCCTGAGAACCAAGTATGATCTTGTTTCCTTGAGAAAATTCTGAACAACCAATTTCTATTCTTATTTTAAAAGGAACTGCTTCTGTAAATTGGTGAAATGCCACAATGAACAAACATATTTACAAATTCTAGTTAAGTAGTGGGTTGAGGGTTGCTATTCTAACAATAAAAGAAAAGCGTAGGTATAAAAAGTTTGGGCCCTCACTCTGTGCTCATTTTTTTCATAGGCATGATTTCTTTTTGGAGAACTTGATTTTCCAACTTTCCTCTAAATGCCAACAGCTGTGGTATGAATTTAGTGTTTACCAACTGACCCCTCTCCCAAATCCTATAAGGAGCAAAGGAATAATGTTCAAGGAAAGAGTTGGAGGTGGTGGAGAGCCACATTCACACAGCTGTCCAGTAGTCCATGGCCCTTGGTCTCTGAGGGTCAGAGAGTACTACTTACCCACCTGCCTTTATCTCTGTGGTTCAGTGCCTCTTGATCTTCAGAGGTCTAAGGATCATCACATGCTTTGCTGATTTAGTTCTAGGTAAGACGTAAGACAAGTGCAGTGCCAATGATCACAATCTGTTCTGTCTTCTTGGTCAAGAAAATAGCATTTCTTTCTTCCTAGCTATGTGGCATCAGCAATTAAGAAAACCCTTTGATCCAAGTATACTTCTGGTTTGGCCCCCGCCCATCTTTGGCGAAACCTCACCACTTTCTGAGGATATGGCAGAACTGACCAAGCCTCCATAGCTAGGCATTTGGAATGGAGCCTGAGGCCTGGGATTGATTCAGTTTTCAACTGACTGCCATTTGCCTCCAACAATCACTTTCTTTCAAGAAAACCAACTAAATGGGCCCATGGAGCTGGACTGTTCATGAATTCTCAGCTTGGTTTTCTTGCCTTTTGAGATATGACCTGGAGTGGAAATTGTCCTACAGAGTGGCTCTATTTTTCAAGGAGGTCTGAGGCCACAATAATGTCCTGTCTTGCTTTTGGCTCTGGAGATTTGGGAGGTAGTGACTTGGGGGCCCTGAAGATTTTCATTCACTCTACAAAGCCAATGAACCTCTTGAGTTGGAATTATTGATAGAGGAATCACAATACTAATATCTTTAGTTTTAGAACTTTATATTCTTTTATACATTCCATTTGGTTATAATAATAACTCAGTGAGGTAGGTTGAATTGTCCTAATTTTATAAATGAGGAAATGAAGGCTCTGAGAGGTGAATAAACTCTAATAAATGAAGGAGCCAGGTTTGAACCCAGGTTGCTCTGATTTCCAGTCCAGTGATAATTTTTCTGTGACACGCTCCCTCACAGGGGAAGCAAGAACCATTTCTTTTCTCAAGGTGACTAAACGAATCAAGTTAAGCCCAATCATATGAACATTCAGCTTAAATCTAACATTAAATTAGAAGAGTAATCACCATAGCATGAATAAAATAGTAATTTCTTCCTTTTGGTAGAATGAAAGGGCACAAAACCGTTATACAAGTCAGAAATCCTGGCATCTGGTGCCTGAGCCCGAATTTTCTCTTTTATAAAAGAGAAACGATAACATGTATTTTTCATTGCAGGACTGTTTATGTATGTGAAAGCACTTTGAAAACCATATTATTATTTTTAAAAATTCTGAAGCCTTGTCAGTTATACTTATTTCATGTGCTTAGATTCTTTTCAGGATGTTAGGAGAAAGAATGTATTACCATTTGCTCATGAATACTTTTAACAGTTAGCTGAAATAGAGATTTGGAGGAATATAAGTTTTCTTGTGATACATTGAGTCATAGGTAAGCATCTGGGCTGTTGGAATCCAGCAGGCATGCCTAAGTCTCTAAGTGGGTGCCTTTGAGTGAGGATGTCTTAGATGGAAGTTTCTGTGTTCTGAGACCCAGAACAGCTAATTACCTCTGTTCTTAGGAGCTTAAAAATGAATTTTGGCCTCTTCAGTGAATTTTAAAGTAAAACAAAAATAGTGGTAGGAGCCAACAAACAAACAAAATAGTGGAGGAAGCTAATCAGTTTATAAAAGAGGAAATTTAAAAAAATTGGCCAGTCGACGTGAATAACCCTGCTAAGTAAATAGGTTATCAAAGAAACTCAAATTGAAAACAGGTACACCACTTTTTAACCTACCCAGTTGGGGAACATTTTATCAAAACATTTAAGGTGAGTGTTGGCCAGGGTGAGGTGAAACAGACACTGGTGGAGAAGAATACTGGTACAGTTTTTTTTGCAAAGATATTTGGCAGTTTTATGTGGAAAGCCTTACTAATGACTTTAGATTGAGTAATTCCAATCACAAGATGTTCTCTTATGGAAATGCTCTAGTCACAGGTTGCACACATATTAATCTCTAAGGATATTTATTATACTGTTACTTATAATTACAAAGTGTTAGAAACAAATGCTCAATAGGAGGGGAATAGTTAATAAATTATTCAACAACTATATGATAGAACATAGCCGTTTAAAAATCATGGTTTTAAAGAATATTTTAATGGTAAGAAAAATGTTAGAATAAAAATGAGATGTAAACCTGTTTATTTACACATGTAATATATAGAATCTGTGTATCTCAAGTTAATAGTCGTCATTGGGCAAAGGGATTATTTTTATTTATATTTTCAATATTTTCTAAGATTTTTATCTTAAGTACCATTTCAACAAGTGAATGAGTAGGCAAATTGCCAAGAAGTTATTGATTTAAAGGAAAAAATATTAACATTTTTTTCTGGTAGTTACAAAGAAACCACTACTTTTCTAAAACAGTAGGTACTGAGTTGGAGATTTCTAAAGATGTTTAATTTGTATCACTTGTGTTTGTACATGGTGCCTGTATTTTACATGTGAGGAAAGCTTAAAATTTCAGATACTAAAAGAAAATTTTAAATATTACTTGAAGTTTTGGTGTTTCTGGAAAAGATTTAATAATAGCTACAAATGACTACCAGATTTACTTTAAAGAGGGCTTCTTTTTTTTAAATTTATATATATATATATATGTGTGTGTATGTTTGTGTGTGTGTGTGTGTGTGTGTGTGTGTATATATATATATATATATATATATATATATAAATAAATATATCAGCATCCTGACTTAAATGGGACTGTTTAGATGGATCATTAGATTTTTACTTAAGTTTAAATATTTATGGTCAGACTGATGTCAGATAATATATAACATCTTGAATATGGTTATGAAACATTGAACTGCATTTTATTTTACAGTGTAGCTCTCGCAATTTATTACCACATCAAAAACAGGTATGTGGATGATTAATTTTGTGCTAAAATTGTTGTTTTATCCCCCCCCCATTATGTTCTAGTTGCTTTGGTCTTTACTTTTTCATAGAATTTCTAAAGTTAGTATAATTTACCAAAACTTCCCAGGTAAGTGCTAAACTGCTTTCAAATCAAAGGATACCTGACAGTTCTGTGTTTGAAGCCAGCAAAACAAAATAAAGCTTCTTGATAATGTTCAGCCTCCTATTTACTCCTTGTTTTCTGTATACTTTGTTTAAACATTCTATCTTTTATAAAATATTATTTTAAGAACTCACTGTATGCAACTATAATATGAAAAAAATGTTTAGTGTTTCAATTTAGTAAAGGAAATTTTGGTGTAAATTTAGATATAAATTATATTAATGTAGTAGAAACCCTCTCTCTGATATGAATCTGAAGATAGTTAATTTAACAGGGACTCACGAAAAAATCATTTTAAAAAAAATTTACCACTAACATTTTCATTTCAATATTAAACATGTAAAAGTACATATTTACCAGTTTTTTTTATGCAGTGTCAGGGCTTTAAGCCACACCTGTAATTTATCCTTTCCATAGTGGGGTTTGGTTTTTTTTTTTTTTAATTGTTGAATTATTACAGATGTCCCCCCCTTTTCCCTCATTGACCCCCCCTCCTCCCCACTCCCACCCACCTCCTTCCTGCTTTCACTAAACTAATTTCTGTGCCCATTGGTTGTGCATACATGTATATAAGTTTTTTGGTTTATTTCTTCCTACCACCCTATCCCCCATATCAAGAGAAGTTAAGACATTTGCAAAATAATCTGAGCATAGAATCTTTCAGTTTTTGACCACATCTAATCTACAATGAATTTATTTTTAGTGATACCCATTTATCGGGTCTTTCCAAAGCATCCTTTTTCATTTTTATAAGAACAAAGCCACTCTCATTGAAGTCATTTCATTGATTGACATTTATTTACATATGTTATATGAATATAATAACAACTACAACTTGTATTAAAGAACAAAATTCACCATGGCCGGTTTGGCTCAGCAGTTGGAGCGTTGACCTGCAGACCAGAGAGTCTCGGGTTCAGTTCCCGCTAGGGGCACGTACCAAAAAAATAAAAAATAAATAACAATAAAAATACAAAAAATACAAAGAACAAAATTCAACCTAGTAATGCCCTGGCCAGTATGGCTCATTTGGTTGGAGTGGTGTCCTGTGCACCAGAAGGTCAAGGATTGATTACCGATCAGGGCACATACCTAGGCTGTGGTTTGATCCCCGGTTGGGGCAGGTACAGGAGGCAACTGATTCATGTATCTCTCTCACATCGATGTTTCTCTGTCTGTCTCTCTCCCCCTTCTCCCTTCCACCCTCACTCCCTCTCCCTTCCTTCTTCTCTTAAATCAATTTAAAAAGAAAATTCAACCGTGTATATATATATATATACACACATATATATATATATGTATACATATGTATATATGTGTGTATATATATATACTTTCAGGTAGAGTGGTAGGGGGAGAGAGAGAGAGAAACATCAATGTGAGAGAGACACATCTATTGGTTGCCTCTCGCATGACTCAGACCAGGGCTGGGACTGAACCGCAACCAAGGTACATGCTCTTGACAGGAATCAGACCCTCAACTCTTTGGTCCTCGGGCTGATCTTCTAACTGCTGAGCTGCACTATCCAGGGCAAGGGCACTTTTCTTATTGGAAGGCAGATTACCTCACTAGTGCTGACAAGAAATTTCAGACTGATTGGTTTAAAATTCTCCTGGGAGAGGCTGAAACTGCAGTTAGTTAGGTTCGGTTATTAAGTTTTGGTTTGGGGACATAGTTTAGCAAAAGTGACTTTATTTTGGCCTGTTTTTTTAAATTTTATTTTAAACACTGGTGTGACCCATTTCTGGGAACAAGCATGGCCACCTCATGGTTGGAATGAATTTTATTGGGGACCACGCTGCCTTCAGTGTGTTTTACAAAGGGGACAAGGGAGAGTTGTGTTAAGTCAGTGAAGTGGAGGTTAGATGACAGAGCTTCTACTGAATAGTCCTATCGGAAAACACAGATATCTGGAGTAATTACTTGAAAAGGTATTCTCTGTGGTGACCTTTCTGTATATTGTAATTGTGATTCATGGTTCTTTACGTGCTTGCGAATTTTGGATTTAAAAGTTTACAAAATGTAGGCTATTGGACCTTTGAACCTTGACCAGAATAACATATCAATGAAAGTGTAGGTTTTGTGTTGCTGCTTATTTCTGTGATAGTCATTGAAACTTTTTAAACATTTAAGTCTTAAATAGCAATGTAATGCCATTCATGGAACTCAGATGTGTTCTCAATTCTTCCAGGTTTGCATTAATATCTCTAAGTGATTTCTTGTTTCTTAGACTGTTATGGATCCCAAAGTTAATTTATAACCATAGCTGATAATAAGAGCCAACTATGTAAGTGCTTACTCTGGCTACCCTGGGCAGCTCTGCATTATCTCATTAGGTTTTTATAACAACTTCATGAGGTGATACTGATATCATCTCTATTTTACAGATAAGGAAACTGAGGCACAGAGGTGAAATAATTTGCCTAAGATTACACAACTAGTAAATCAGGGAATGGGGAATCGAATCCAGGCAATATACCACTGACACTTTTAATCATATACTCTACTTGCCCAGTGCTGATAAACAGGGTCAAAAGTAAGTGAATGGAAATGAGAAAGTCCACCTGAAAAAGTGAGCATTTGTAAACAAGCATGATTGATTTACAGATTGTACCCTTCTTTGCATGAGGTGGCATTGACCATCTGCAGACTTTCTCTTTGATAAATCATACTGGTCAAACCTCTGAAGCTGGTGATAGATCCACTGGCTTGGTAAAGATGGTGCTGTTCAGCTGAGACACATCACTTAATGGAGTTGAAAGGGAAATTCACTTCTCAGAGGAGTTATTTTAGCTTAAATTCTTAATCCTCATTAATATTTTGAACATATATTTTTATTTTTAAAATTAGTTCTGGTGAGTGTATCTTGAGAATGCTGAAGGGCATTTTAGGGGCTCTCACTCATGAGAAAAATTGAACTGGACTGAATAGCCCAAAGAAATGGGTGTTGGGCCAGGCTTTGTCTCTCACATAATACTTTGAATATCTTGCAGAGGCAGTTAGTGAGGTGAGATGTTGGCTGATATTTCATAGCTGGGGTTCTTATAAAAGGAGGTGTCACCATGTGCACCAGAAGGAGCCATCTTGATGTTTTCAGACTTCACTCTTCAGGTCCTACCTGGTTGAACCTGTCTTTAATAGCATTTATCTAAATCTTGGCTACCTGTGTTCCTGCAGGCCAGTGAAAATCAGCACAGATATGAATACTCAAAGCTTTAAAAACAATTGGTAATGCAAATTGAGTTATTCTGTTAAAATCTTTCTCTTTATTTTTATGTAGACAGTAAATTCATAGAGCAGAAACTAGTGTTTACCACGATGGGTGTGTGTCAGAGACAGGACTGTAGTGTTTTGATAGTCACAAGCCTAATGGACATTGGAAGCACAGACTATGGAAATGATACACTGTTGCCAAATGCAATGGTTTCCAAAGAAAAATTTTTAGGCAAAACTTGACATAAAACAGATGAAAAATAGAGCTGTCTATGGTGAGGTATGAATAGTCCCCGCAGGACAGCTGCCCAAGGCACTGTGCTTGCAGTAAATGCCACCACTTTACATGGCTCATTTACCAGCCTGGTAGCAACCAGCTATTCTTTTATAGATTACTGAGTTAAGCTTTTCTGTGCATCACCTCTTGTTTTTCAATATACAATTGTGAAACTCTTAATGAAATGGTTAAGTTGCATGTTGTGAAAAACTTCAAATTGTTCATTTTATCCTTGAACTTCTTGTCAGCTACTATATGCTAATAATTTAAATAGATCTGTTAGCCTTTGTGCAAGAAACAAGATGTTAAAGAAATTGAAATTTGGTTCATTTGAAAACTTAGAAAATAAAAATTTATATTTTCACTTACGTTAATTTATAACCTTTATTTCATAGACTAGTAAAAAATTATCTAACACTGTACTCAAGTTATTTAACATTATTATTCACTGCCTTCTCTTTTTGAAATAACAGTTGAATCAAAATCTCTTTTTGTTTTATTTTGAAGACACTCATTCTTGCAGAAAGTAAACTCCATTTTCCATTAAATTTCCCCACCAGGGACCCAGATGGAAGGACGCTGTTAGATATTTTTGATGAAAACCTTCACCCTCTTTCGGTAATCTCCTCCTCCTTTGTGTTGCATGATATTGTTTAATTATTTCTCTTTTGCTCTTATTGGGTGGCTAGCTATCTGAAAATATTTTCTTCCCCAGAAATCTGAAGTGCCACCAGATTATGACAAACACAACCCAGAGCAGAAGCAGATTTACCGGTTTGTTCGGACACTGTTCAGTGCTGCTCAGCTGACAGCTGAATGTGCCATTGTCACTCTGGTGAGTGCCCTCAGGATAACTGCCCATCCTATGGTTGAGTAGAGCAGTGCTCAGGGACTCTTATCAGGTTCCTAAGGACACTGCAGTTTCTGCTTTGGAGGTTAGAATATGGATCTCCTAAAAGAGGATGTAAAGTCTGTTCCACAGTCCCTTCTGAAAGTCAGTTGTACAATCACATTAAAAACCAATAAATGTTGAAACCTTAAATGCAGGTAAGTAAACATGGGGCTAAAGCAGGTAAGACAAGGCTGCCCGATCACTGTGAATGTCAAGCTTTCCTATTGTTGATTCCTACAAAAGTTTAATGACATTCATAAGAAATGATAAACACATAATCCTACATGGATTCCTATATAGGAAGGAGTGTATATTGCTACCTTTTCTGTTTTGTGTAAATAATCTGTCTGTAAGATAGTCAGAGACAACTGTGGAGGTAAATCTGTACTTTTAGACTCAAATGAGATAAAAATCTATACTATTATTTAGATTCTTAAAACTTTAGGGACTATTTAGGTAAAATATTATTTGGGAAATAAATTTGACAATAGAACCAGTTGTCACTGACTTTATTACATTGTGTGCAAATCAGATAATGAGTTGTCCTGGAGTGGGGGTGATAAATAGCCATTTCTTGTAGCTTCTGAGAAGAGATAATTGTCTAATAGAAAAATTACAGGTCACTTGAAGACCCATTATGTCTCAGTCACACTAAGAGCTTTGTGCTCTATTGCTAATGCAACAGTAAACCTGTTTGTTTATTCATTCATTGATCCATCCATTTGTTCATTTCTTTTCTTGTTGAACCTCTTTTTAGTGGCTAAAACAGACATTTATCACTAGACAGTTTGGATGATTATGTCATAATTGAGAAGACAATTTATTGCTTGGGTTTGTTATCCCAAAGGATTTCAAGTTGTTACAAAACACAACAGGGTTGACATTTTTATGCAGGGAAATTGTGATGAAGAGGAAAGAAGGTAAGAAAATTGGATGAAATCATGGATGAGATTAGTACATGAAGAAATGATTTATGCCCTGGCAGGTTTGATTCAGAGAGACTTTAGAGCTTTAGTCCTCGGACCGAAGGGTCTTGGATTCGATTTACAGTCAAGGGCACATACCTGGGTTGCAGGTTTGATCCCTGGCCCAGATCAGGGTTGTAAGGGAGGCAGCTAATTAATGTGTCTCTCTCACATTGATGTTTCTCTCTATATATATCTCTCTCCCTTCCTCCTACTCTATCAAAATATTGATGGAAAAATATCCTTGGGTGAGGATTAACAACAACAGCAAAAAGAAAGGATTTATTTTGAAGCTACTGCTGATGGCATTTGGTGGGGATTATATTACCTTTAATTACTAAGAAAATTAAACCTAACTGACCTGGTAGTGCTTCATTGCTTAGATTTATTAGCACAAAGGTAAGATTTTCATCACTGCAGCTTCCCTAGTTTCTGCAGAGATGTTGAGAGAACATCTGAAGTGCATTCTTATCTTCACAGTGACAGGGTGGATCAGTTTGCTCATGTCTTTGGAATGCTATAGGACTGTTCCATATTTGTCAGTTATTGTAACTAGTAAAGTCTTCACCCATCCTATTAGATGAACTGGTAGCTTAGAAGATTAGCTTATATTGGGGTCTTGTTGGTTACAACCTAAAGATAAGCAGCTGTGAGGTCCTGCATGGTGGGCTTAGCACTGTAGACTGACTCTGGTGGCTGCTGCTTGCATTGGCTGAGAGAGCCTGCATGCCTGTGGGCAGAAGGCAGACAAGATACATGCTCTGAGTCAGACCCTGTGTGATAATTCTTCCCTTCTCTTGCATTCCCTAGACTTAGAAACAGCCATTCAGAAAAGGTCCTTTCTAGAGTTTACAGGGATGCACTGATCTCTGCTCTTCTCCGGTGTATTCTCTTCGCGTTTTGGCATACTGCCCAGAAGAAGATGGTGGGGGCAGGGGAAGCATAGCAGTTAGCATTGGGCCTGTTTCCCACGATAAAACAAGACTGTAGCCTGCCTGTGGTGAGAGAGCTTCCAAGGCTTTAAAACATTCAGCACCTAGTAAATCCAAAGCAAATATTTCACAGCTTAATTAACTTCATTTCAAAAGAGTAATAACAACTTACTATCACTAAATATATTTCTTTTTTCCCAATTATTATTACTTTATTTTTGCTACAGATAGTTCTCCTTTTCCCCTCTAGACACTCTCCTCCCTGTCTCCCCACCCCCCCACATTGTTGTCTATGTCCATTGGTTATGCATACATGCATATAACTTCTTTGGTTCATCTCATCCATCCCCCCCACCTCCCTACTCTGAGGTTCGTCAGTCTGAAGCATACTCCTTTCTATGTCTCTAGGTCTGTTTTGTTCATAAGCACACCTTGTTCATTATATTCCACACATAAGTGAAATCATGTGGTATTTGTCTTTCTCTGATTGGCTTATTTCGCTTAGCATAATACTCTCGAGGTCCCTCTATGTCATCTCAAAGGATATGAGATCTTTCCTTCTTAGAGCTGCACAGTATTCCATTGTATATATGTACCACAGCTTTTTTATCCTATTGATGGACACTTGGGCCGTTTCCAGATCTTAGTGACTGTAAATAGGGCTGCTATGAACAAAAGGGTACATACATACTTTCTGATTGGTGTTTTCAGGCTTCTTAGGGTATATTCCTAGAAGTGGAATCACTGGGTCAAAAGGCAATTCAACTTTTAATTTTTTGAGGAAACACCATACTGTTTTCCATAGTGGCTGCACCAGTCTGCGTTCCCACCAGCAGTGTAATAGAGTCCCCTTTTCTCTACACCCTCAACAGCACTTGTTTGATGATTTGTTGATGGCAGCCATTCTAGCAGATGTGAGGTGATACCTCATAGTTGTTTGCATCTCTCTGATAATTAGTGATGTTCAGCATTTATTCATATGTCTCTCCACCATTTGTAAGTCCTCTTTGGAGAGGTGTCTATTTAGGTCTTCTGCCCATTTCTTAATTGGGTTCTTTGTCTTGTTTTCTTAAGTTGTATGAACACACTGTATATTTTGGAAATTAACCCCTTATCTGATGTATCATTGGCAATTATGCTCCCATACAGTGGGTTCCCTTTCTATTTTGATGGTTGTTTCTTTTGCTGTGCGGAAGCTTTTGAGTTTGATGTAGTCCCATGTGTTCATTTTCTCCTTTGTTTCTGTTGCCTTAGGTGATGTATCAGTGAAAATTCTGCTGCGTACGATGTCTGAAATTTTGTTGCCTACATTTTCTTCTAGGATTTTTATGGATTCACAAGTCAAATTTAAGTCTTTTATCCATTTTGAGTTTATTCTTGTGTATGGTGTAAGTTGATGGTCTAGTTTTATTTTTTGCATGTAGCTGTCCAATTTTCTCAGCACCATTTATTAAAGAGGCTGTCTTTACTCTGTTGTATACTCTTGCCACCTTTGTCAAATATTAATTGAGCTAATGTCTTGGGTCAATGTCTGGGTTCCCTGTTCTATTCCATTGATCTACATGCCTGTTCTTGTGCCAGTACCAGGCTGTTTTGATTACATTTGCTTTGTAATATAACCTGATATCTGATATTGTGATCCCACCTACATTGTCCTTCTTTTTCAAGATTGCTGTTGCTATTTGGGGTCTTTTTTGGTGCCATATGAACTTTTGAAGTATGTGAAGTATGTCATTGGTATTTTGAGGGAGATTGCATTGAATCTGTAGATTGGTTTGGGTAGTATAGACATTTTAATGATGTTAATTCTTTCAATCCATGAACAAGATAATGTGCTTCCATTTTTTGTATCTTCCTCTATGTCATTTTTCAATGTGTAGTTTTCTGCAAGTAGGTCCTTTACTTCTTTGGATAAGTTTATTCCTAGGTATCTTAATGTTTTGCGCCAATGGTAAATGGAATTGTTTTTTTAGTTTATCTTCCTGTGAGTTTATTATTGGTGTATAAGAATGCCATCAATTTCTTGATCTTAATTTTGTATCCTGCTACCTTGTCAAACTCATTTATTAAATCTAGCAGATTTTTAATGGAGTCTTTAGGGTTTTCTATGTATAACATCATGTCATCTACAACTAATGACAGTTTCACTTCCTCTTTTCCAATTTGTATCCCTTTTATTTTTTCTTCATGTCTGATTGCTGTGGTTAAGACTTCCAGTACTATGTTAAATAAGAGTGGTGAAAGTGGGCATTCCTGTCTTGTTCTTTTTCTTAAAAGAAAAGCTTTTAGTTTTTGCCCATTGAGTATGATGTTGGTTTTTCTTATATGGCCTTTTTTATGTCGAGATATGATTCCTCTATTTCCACATTGCTGAGTGTTTTTATCAGAAATGGATGCTGGATTTTGTTGAATGCTTTTTCAGCATCTATTGATATAATCATATGGTTTTTATCTTTCATTTTGTTTATGTGGTGTATCACATTTATTGATTGGTGAATATGGTTCCAGCCTTGCATCCCTGGGATGAATCTCACTTGGTTGTGGTGAATAAGTTTTTTTAATGTATTGTTGAATCCGATTTGCTACTATTTTGTTAAGGGTTTTGTCATCAGGGATATTTGCCTTTAGTTTTGTTTGTTTTTAGTGTCTTTATCTTGTTTTGGAATTCTAATTATGCTGGCCTCATAAAATGAGTTTGGAAGTCTTTCTTCTTCTTGAGTTTTTGGTAATAGTTTGAGGAGAATGGGTGTTAGTTTTTTGAATGTTTGGTAAAACTACCCTGTGAAGCAGTCCGGGCCTGGTCTTTTGTTTGCTGGGAGAGTCTTGATTACATCTACAATTTCCTTAGTTGTTATTGGTGTGTTCAAGTTTTTTTTTCTCTCCTCCTGGTTTAGTTTTGGGAGACTGTGTGTTTCTAGAAATTTGTCCTTTTTGCTTTGATTGTCCAATTTGTTGCTGTATAATTTTTCATAGTATTTGTTAACGATCCTTTGTATTTCTGTGGTGTCAGTTGTTACTTCTTTTCTTTCATTTCTGATTTTGTGTA